GTCAGTGACGTTAATTTGTTACAAATGTGGCAGTGACATATTGTTTATGAAGACAGAGAAGAGTGTGTGCAGGATTCAGGCCAAGGAGTGCTGCTGAGAGGTGCTGCTCAGCTCTGCTCCTCACCCAGTGACAGGAGAGTCACCCTCTAGGGCCTGTCCACAGGCAGTGACCAGACTGGGGATCACTCCTGAGGAAGGGCTGGCCACCTGGAGAAGAGCAGAATCAAAGCCCGTGATCGCCACGTTCCCACCTCTGAAGAACCAGCAGGAGCAGGAGTCCATGTGCTGTGTGGCCCCCAGGCAGAGGCAGGACCTGTGAGGCAGGTTTTCAAAGCAATTGCAGAATCATCGAGCAAGAGGTGGAGGCCACAGAGATCTCCCCACCCAGCCCACTCGCTTTAGCAAGACCCAGGCAGAGGCCAGGACTTCCTGGGGGCTCCTCACTGAAGTGACGGCAAAGCCAAGACTAGCTCCGAGGGTCCTGTCTACCAGCCAGAGCTCGCTCTTCTCCCTGCGTTTTGGATTTTGTTAGGAGGGCCTAGAATGGAATCACTTATAGCATTTTTTATTTTATTTTTGTTGAGTCAAGGCCATCCTGTGTTTTAGACCTTGGAGTCATACATTGAGTGTGTGTGTTTGTAACCATTAAACTTTAAAGAACACATATACCTCCCTCCATTCGGATCTAGAGCCAGTTGAGGACTAATGGACAGTTAAGGGTGAGGGGAGTAGAACCCAGCTAATGCAAGAGACCCTGTAACTGGCTCTCCCGCCTAAGGGTTGCGGTCCCAGAAGGAGGTAGAATCACTGACGGAAGCTGTCTCCCAGCCATCTCGTGGATGCTCTCAGGCCCACAGCCAGTGAATATTTTCAGACTGGACTTTTTTTGGCAGCCTAATTTTCACCAATAGGACCTATTTCCTTTACGTATCATCCAAATCTAAAATTTGAAATAAAGAATGGGTTTTTTAAAGAGAACACTTCTTTTTGCCCCACAACGAGGAAGCAGCATTGTTCTTCGGGAGAGGGGCTCTCTTATTCCATACTATTTTTAGGCTCTTAGCACAGAAACTGTCGGCATTAAAGGGCCTTCAGTCAAATCTAGTGGTACTCAACTCTGACTGTGTGTTAGGATCGACTTAGGGGACTTTTAAAAATACTGCCGCCCAGAACCCACCCCTCAGCCCCCCAGAGGTTCTAATATAATGGATCCATATTAGGACTCAGACGTATGTATTTTCCAGCAGTTCCCAGGTGATACTAATGCCCGGCCGGGACTGGGAACCATTGGAAGCCCTGCTGTGCAGTTTGCCGATGGAGAAACTCAGGCCAGAGAAAGAGACAGTCTGTCCAGGGCCACACAGTGAGTCAGTGGCAAGCTGCGGCAGAGTTGTGGGGCAGGACGGCAGCCCTCTGCTCAATTCCTTCATCTACCCCCACCCCCTGGTGGGTCTTCCTAGCCTGTCCCCTGATCCACAGTCTGCAAGGCCCAGTCTGTATCCATTGGGTGGTTAACGCTGTTTGTGAGTTAGCAAGGAACCCAAGAGTTAAACATTGAGAGTGCTGGGTGCCTATCATGGTCACCACCAGCTGGGCCACCAGCTGGGCCATGGAAGAACACAGAGGGCACCATCCTTCTACCTGCAGACCCGGGAGGGGTCCTGGGTAGAGGACAGGGGATGAGACTCGATGCTACCTAAGGATGCCAGATGCAAGGCTTCAAGGCCCGCTCAGGAACTAACTGGCTGATAGGAATCATGAGGCCTGGGTACACCTAGGTCATAGCTCCAACACCAGGAGCTGTCACCCATGCCCTCAGCCCACAGCAACTGAGGTGCTCAGAGGGGAGCTACGTACTCAGAGAAGGCTTCCTGGAAGAGGTGGGTGTAGGATTGGGCCATGTTGGTAGAGGGAGGGGAAAGCCGCCTTCCAAGCAGAGGGACCATTATGGGGAACCATGGCATTAAAAAAACCTAGGGAGTATTTGGGGACCGAGCAAATAGCTCAGTTACTTTTATCACGAGGCAAACTACAATTTATTGAACACTTACTGTGAGTTAGGCTGTAAGCCAGAAACTGCCCATATTTGCCTCTTTAATCCTCATGGCCACTTTGAAAGTTCCCATTTTCCAGCTGCAGCCACCTGCTAACAAAGGGCAGGCTGGAGGGAAATAGTATCTGCAGATGAGAATAATTTTACCTGCCTGGTGGGGCTGGGTGAGTCTTTAACTACAATGTCAGATATTATTAATTTTTTTTTAATCTTTGTATCTCCAGCCCCGAGCCTGGCAGATAATAGGCACCCAGTCAATGTTTGTTGAATGAATGAGTGAATGAATGAATGAATGAATGAGTGATTAAGGGATTTAGCACAAGCATGCCTCAGTGCCCAGATGTCCAAGGCGACCTTGGTCAAGGGTGAGGACAGAACCTCATCTTTCACCACCCACACTGATGCTTTTGAGGGATTCTTTATCAGGAAGTACCTGAGGCTGGGCCTGGCATGCAGTAGGCCCTCCATAAATGTGGGCTGAGTGACCAACAACTCTGCTCAGCATGGGTGGTGAAAGTGGTCTGAGTTCAGAGCTAAGGGAGCTCAGTTCAAGTGCCCACTTGGTCACTGCCCAGCACATGGCTCTGAGCGTTCACTTAACTTCTGTGAGGCTTCTCCCTCATCTACAGATGGGGGCAAATCATGCCCAGTTCATGGTTTGCCAAGAGCCTTCAATGCAAGAACATGTGACGCACCTGTGAGCCCCCAAGCAGTACCCCAGGGAGAGATTCTGGTGATGATAGCTGTCTTGGGAAGCCAAGTATGTGCGCCCCAGCCAGTCGGCAGTTCCTCTTGGTGCCATGGGACAGTCCATCAGGGTATGTCAGTCGGGGGGGCAGGCTGTGTGGCTGGGGGTGCAGTGGGGCGCCAGCCACATCACTTCCCGGCTCCTGGTGATTTGTTCCAATCAGCCTGCATATTTCATGAGCTGCCTCCCCACACCAGATAAATAAATCAGGGCTTCCTCCTCTGAGCGGCAGGAGCTGATTGGGGCTGAGGACTTCAAAAGGCCAGAGCAGGGATGCTGGAGCTCCCAGCAGAGTCTGTTAATGTGACATTTAGGAGCTGTGATCCAGGCAGGCGACAGCCACCTGCAAAGGGGCAGGAAGACCACTGTAGTGGGAAGGAAGTGGCTTTGACAACCCTGTTTTCCACCCCACAGTCAAAAGAACACAGGCGGAAGTGTGGCCTATGGGATTCTCTGTTCCTCTTCCCAAATGTTTATAAGGGACGAGCAGCGCGTCTGCATTTCTGCAAAGAAATTCCCTGAGAGCCAGAGCCCCAGCCGGCCGGTGGGTCTTCTGGGCGCACATTCGGAGTTCCCGCAGCCGTGTCACTTGATAACCTCCGGGCATTTGGAGGCCCAGCATCTGCAGCTCTGGGGACCCGCTTGCCCTGCGGGTGGGCACGTGGGCGTGCCTCTCTGCAGTTACTACACGGAGGGGGCAGCTTGGCAGGAACTGTCACCACTCAGGGATCCCATCGAGGCAGCCCCATGTCAGCAAAGAGCATGGTCTGTGGGAAACATCCCGAGTTCGAGGCCGGGCTCTACTCTTAGAATCGGTGGAGTGGCAGGAAAGGCACAAGCCGCCGAGCTCAGTTTCCTCATCTGTGTGGTGGGACCGAAACCACCAGCTGCAGCTGTGAGAACCGAGCAAGACAAGGCACAGAAAGTTCCCAGCACAGGTCCAGGCACACTGTCCAGGCTCGGTGACTCCTCAGTGGTTCTCCCCGCCCACTCCCCAGCCCTGGCAAAGCCTGTTCAGCCCTGCGGGCTTCACCCTCTAGTTCCACAACCTTTGCCTTTGGTCCTGCTTCCCCAGACCTGCTTTGTCTGTGGTCACCAGTCCCCCCACACACCAAATCCATTAACCCCTTGCTCAAGGGGCTTGTTGTTCTAGTCTCTCGGTGACATCTGACACTGCTAGCCAGCTTCATTGTGAAATTGTCCCTTTCCTTGGCTCCCGTGATGCCCACTCTCTCCTGCCACCCTACTCCCGGCACCCTGGCCAGTCCTTCCCAGTCTCCTTGCAGCATCCTTGCCGTGCCCAACCGCCCCCCACCCCGCCGCCGAGAGGTTGGCGCTCCCCAGGATTCTGCCCTTGGTCCTCTCTGCTCTTTGGCACTGTCCCAAGGGATCTCCTCCCTGCCCCCTGCTCCAACTCCCAGTTCACATGCTGATGGCCCCAACTCTCTCCCCAGCCCAGACCTCTCCCCTGTCTCCAGACCCAAGGACACCTCCACCCTCACCAGTCTTATGATCCATGAGCACGTCCGGCTTCACTAATACTAATTCCACCTCAGAATGCATTAAGAGGAATATAATGTGCAAAATGAAGGAGGGGATAATCCCCTGTACTTGCTGCTGAGCAGATCATGCCTAAAGAAGTATGTTGGTCAGTCCTTGAGTCTACACTCTCTCAGACACAGTGACATTGTGTGGCATGGCCCAAGGAGGAACCTGGAGAGGGCTGAATTAGAAATAATATTCTGTAAGGTGAGGTTGGAGGCTGGCACCAGGGGGATGATCTGTCTGTGTCTTCAAGTCTCTAGGGCTGTCCTGGAGCAGAGGGAGCCGAAGCGGTCTGTGTGGTCCTAGATGACAGAGCCAGAGACCAGGGGAAAGTTACAGAGACCGTTCAGCCCAATGACCAGGAAGGACTTGGTAACAGACGAGTCCGTTATGAAGGGAGTAGGCCTCCATCCACAAGGCATATAGCAAAGGTGGGGGGGGGGATCACCAGCGGATGCGCTGGGGTGAGAGGGCGTCTGTCCCACCCCAGATCCAATCGGAGGTTTTGCGATTCTACCCGGAAAAGGCCCTGGGGCAAAGGAAAGCCTGTGAGAATGTAGCCAGGGCCTGTGGGGGTGCAGGAGCTGCGACAGGAACAGCCAGCCACAGGCACGGGACTCCATCTAACCAGCCCCTGTCTCTTGTTCCCCACAGATAGCAGGGAGGTGAAGGTGGGAGAGTACAACGCTGTGGCTGACACACTGGAGATCATCAACGACACTATCAGGTTCCAAGGTAAGGCAGGTGGGCTTCTCATAGGAGGGGGCCTGCTCAATTGCTCCCAAGGTCAGATACTGTCTGAGGGCTGGGGTCAAGCTCGGAGTCTTTGGCTTCCTGGGGAAGAGGGAACCTCCTTTCCTCTCAACACATACACTCACTGAGCACAGGGTCCCCATCACTCACATGGGAGCTGGCTTCCCGCTCCTGGGATAGGTCACTGAAATTTGCATGGCGTGCTGTCTCTTACCCAGGCATCTACATTTAAACCAGTCCATAGCCAGGAGTAATTCTGTTTAAATGTGACCCAGCTAAATTTAGATCTGTCTCCTACTGGGAGAAACGACTTGGTTGGGTTTGAAATAAAGCCTGTCTACCGGCTGGTCTTCCTGAAGATCATTCCCTCTTCTTCTGCGGGAGAACTCTTCCTCAGCTTCTAGAACCAAATCAAATGACACTCTTCTGTGCAGCCTTCCCCGATTGCCCCCAGCTGAGCTAATGGCTCCCTTGTCTTGGCTTTCAGTGTTTGTCTCTGCCTTCCCCATAGTCACTGTCTTTTGCATGGAAATTTCTAGGTTGTTAGACCATGAGCTCCCTGACTGGATCCTATCTGACTTTAAACTCCTAATGCTAGCCAGGGTCTGACACATGTCGAAGGTTCATATTTGATGAAAAACTAAACACATGACTGATCAACTGAGGGGATGACTGGGTGGGTGAATAAATGAATGAACAGGTGATTCCACAGAGAACACGGTTGTTGGGAAAACAAACAAACAGACGCCTGGCTGGCTGAATGAATGCATGGATGCTCTTCGGAGCAGCAGGACTCCGTGTCCCCCCAAGGACTGGGTTCTAACCCAGTTCAGGTGCATTGTGTGTGAAGGCACTATTTTCGGGGGAGGGAAGGTAGAGTAAGGAAGAGGAGATGTGGTCAGTTTCCTGACGTCATTTCTGCATGAGCAGCGAGTGGTCACAATCATCATATACCTGCTGGTCCAAACCTCAGGTCTTTTCTCAATGCCCAGAGATGGACTTGTTCCCAGCCAGGAACTCACGGGCACCCCCAGGTTGGCTCTAGTGTTTGGAAACCGGAAGACACCTGAGCCAGTGTAATGCAGCCAGAGGTTCGCTTAGGGGTGGGAGGTTGGGGGAAAAAAAGGGAAGAATGGTGGAAGAAGGATTCAGATGTAGAGCTTTCACTTCTGGAAGCAAGAAATGGTGTTACTTCACTTACCTTGTGTCTGTTTTTGCCCTGACCTTCGGCCCTTGAAGCCACTCCTTCAAAATGTTCCTTTATGTGGAATTGCTTAAAACTTTACATTTAACCATGCGAGCAGGTTCCTAGCTGTTTTAGAACCTGGCAGTTTCCCTGCTTAGATGGTTCGAACTCTTCTTATCCCCTGAATGTTTCCAAACACATTTGAACTTGCTAGCAGAGTTTTTGAAACACAGATGTTCAGAGATCTCCATCCCTGCTGCCACACCTGCCCATCCTCTTCTTGTCCCCTGGGAATGGAGGTGTGACCCAGGCTGGCCCCCACGGCACAGCCATGGTGCGGTCCTCATGACCCCTGTTGGGGCTCCCCGGGCTCCCCACCTTCCCCACCAGAGAGAAAAGCCCCAGTGTTTCACAGTTCTGCAGCAGAAGCCTGACTTGAAATAGCAGCTGAGAAGAAAGGGATTTGTAAGAAGTGGGGCGGGGTGGGGCGAGTTCCTGCACCCCTCCTCCCAAACCAGGCTGGATCCAGACAATTTTGCCAGCGACCAGAAAGATGAGTTTTCTCTGAGGCCCTCAGGGCTCCCCTAGGTTCCCGGTGCCCGTGGAGAATGAGCAGGGACAGCTCTTCAGTCACATAGAGAAATGCAACCCCACAGTTTTGGTCCAGTCCTGGCATGATAGGGAGGGGGAGGCATGCCAGTAGCTTCTGCCTCCCACAGTGAGTGAGGCTTATGAAAATGGAAAACCAGAAAGAGCTTTTATAACATAATGACCTTGAGGCAGAAAACCCACGCCCAGAGACATCTCTGTCTCCATGGAACTGACAGGCAAAGTGTCTGCCCTGTTGAGGGTGGTCATTATCACGTGTCAGAGCAGAGTCCTTGAGAGCCCAAGCCAGGTGCCTCGCCCCCAGTGACACCCAGTGGGCCCATTCACAGCGTCTAGCCCTGTGCCTTCCGAGCTGCTGTTACCTTTGGGGACAAATGGGGATGGTTTTTCAACAGGATAATTAGACCAAAGCAAATTCTAGTCTTTTAATGGCTGTTAAATGCATCACAAATTCCTTATTGATTCTATTTAGAGAAAGAAATAAGTCCTAGCTAAGGCTCCCTGCCGGTAGATTGGCCGACCACTGGAGCCCTCTCCCCCAGTAGCTGTGTCCTGCTCAGAGATCGTGTCCAGGTGCCAGACAGCAAGACATGCAGGCAAAGGTGTTCTCGAGGGCTGACCATGCACCGGGCTCAGCTGGTGTCTGTTCCTTGGCCTTTAGGATCCGAGCCACCAAAAGACAAGACCATCATCCTGGAGCAGCTCCGAAAGATCTCCCTACCTCTCTACAGCATCCTCTCTGCCCTCACCATCCTGGGGATGATCATGGCCAGCGCTTTTCTCTTCTTCAACATCAAGAATCGGAATCAGAAGTAAGCCACTCACAGCCTCCTCTTGGATGATGCTTTCCGGATTGACAAACTCGTGGATAAAGTGTAGGGACTTCACATGACCGATGCACCAGGGGCACAGAAGTTTTTGGGACGGTTTTCTAAAGTGGTCGTTCGGTCCCTGGGATGTGATTAGATGTTCCATGTAATGTACATACTCTCTCTCTCACACACACACACACACACACACACAGAGGCAGGGCTGCTGGTTGCACAGGAGGACTGGGTTAAATAAACTCCAAGGGTCTGAGTCTCTAGGCCTCCTCCACTTTGTACGGTGCAGGAGGGAAAACACAGAAGCAGGAGCTCCCCCAAAGTCTTGGCTCCACCCCCCAGCGTCGTGGGGAAGCTCTGCCCAAGGGAGTCACTGAGTTCAGGAAGGGGCTCCACCCCCCCGGGACAGTACTTTACAGCCCGAGAAGCTCCTCCCTCCCATCATTCTCACTGGAACCCTCAGATAACTCCCCCCGGATCACAGATGAGAGTCCCGAAGCCCAGTGACAGAGGGAAGGCCACCGTCCGAGGCCACACTGCTGTGTGTGGCAGAATGGGTCCCCTGGGTATCCCGCTTTGATTTCTCTTCCACCACACAGGCTCTTCACTCTCTGGAGGAGAGCAGCTCCCCGTCTGAGTTAATTCGGTCAGCCGTGGGTAGAACAGGCCGCCACCCAAGCAGTGGTGTTTACCGCGCGCAACCAGCTTCTGTGGTTCCCACGGCAAACCCCTGGACCCAGCTCCCTGGGTTGTTGGGGAGCCACTGAGCAGGGGCTCAGAGCAGGGCCGCCAGGGGCACAGCCTTGGTGACATCAAGCCCAGAAGCCACGCTGTGTGACCTTCCTGGCAGCCAGGAGCAAGCCTGATTCCACAGAGAACACGGTTGTTTTCTTTTTTTCTCTTCCCGCTTGCAAAGACAGAACTTGGAGGCTCTATATTTCTTTGTTGTTGTTTTTGGTTTTGATTAGGTCAAACCTATTTCCTGAAGAACAAAAGGAGTTTTATTCACTTGTTGTTTTATTTTCTATACATCACTAACACATACACCACCACAAAAAAATTGAAGGAAGTTTCACCTACTCTGTACAAACCTTAACTGCTGACCATGCCCATTAGCATTTGGACGAGGCCTGGGCACAGAATCAGCTCTCAATTAATATTAGACTCCTTTTCTGCAAGCTTCCAAAATACCTATCTTAACAGCAAGTTGCCCCTATTGTGAGACTAAACTCCTTTAATTCTGTAACTACCCCGTTTTGGCCCTCCTGTGGAAATTTACTGTTACTCTTCGCAGTAGGCTGGCATCTATGTGAATTTTTTGACTGGCTTTGCAGATTAAAAAATCTGAAAGAAATAAGAATCAATGTCACAGTTGTTCCAAGTTCCCCTCACTTTTATGTCCCTAAATGCTATCTATTTGTTAAGGTCCTTTTCCTCCAGGTAACCAGCCCAACGCCTGGCCTCTCCCCTCCCCAACTTCTCGTAGTAATAAAGATGAAGGGGTCTTAGCAGTCCATGGTTTGCAGAAGGACCTCCAGGAATCCAGCGTCCTCTGAGCTGCACACTTGCCCTGGGCAGTATGATCTGGGCTCCTGTCTTACTCCGGAGGAGACTCAGCCAGGCCAAGTGGCCTGCCAAGGGTGCACCTCTGTAGGGTGGCTCCACCCCGTGCTCCCAGCTCAAAAGCCGCATGCAATCCATAATTTACACCAGGCTTTTTATCTCTCTTCCACTTGGACACATTGCATTTTTTAAATGTGAAAGGATTCATAGAATGGCAGAGTACAAGAGAAAATGTTCAGGGAACAAGTGACCATATTTACAATCTGCAAAAGAGCACTTGGACCAGGGGGCGCCTCAAAACCCAAGACAGACCGAGTGGATTGTGCTGGGGTAGCCAGGCACTTCTGAGGGTGAATTCCAGCTAGCCGTTGGTCTCAGCCAAGCCTGGCTTGCTGGGCAGCTGGGAGCCAAAGCAGAATTCCTGCAGGAGGTGAGAGACAAGCGTGTAGAGTGTGGGAGTGTAAAGAATACCCCCAGCAGCAGCCTGGTGAGGACAGGGGTAGGGTGGGGATGGGGACTGCATTGTCCATTTTTATCACCTAATGCCTAGGGGAGGTGTTCCTGTGCATGGGTGTGACCCCTTTGTGCACAAGACCGGGTGAGCTTCAGACAGCCGGAGTGAATGCTCGCATACCACCTGGTGACCACACTTCGTGAGCAGCCCTGAGTGCTCACCTATAGACCTCCTAGGCTGGGCCCACCTGGTAAGGTGGAGGGTGGTGTGGCCTTCTCCCCCTCACCTCCCTCCTCCCTTAAGGCTGCTGAGCTTAAGTGTAGAATTCTCTAGACTTAGCCTATCTTCCCAGCCCCAGAGGAAAAAAAAGACATGTTGCCTTAATAAGGTGTTTGTGTAAACTGAAAATGAATGGTTGAAGAAGCTGGTGTTACAAGCTGCCCCTAGAGAAATGATAGGTGAACTTGATGGAGGAAAAATCCACCAGTAGCATTATATAGCTTCTAGGGTCCTTTAGTGAGGGGGAAGCGGCCCCTAGCAGGTGCACAGCCTGGGATGTGGGTGGTGGGGAGTGGAGGAAACCTGGGCTTGCATTTCTCTCTCCTCCAGCCTTGGCAACACCATACACCTAGCAGGCATTCAGGGAATGTTTGCTGGAGGAATAACAACATTAACATTTCTGTTAACTGTCGTCTTTCTCTTGGCAGGCTGATAAAGATGTCCAGTCCGTATATGAACAACCTCATTATCCTCGGAGGGATGCTCTCCTATGCATCGATATTTCTCTTTGGCCTTGATGGATCCTTTGTGTCTGAAAAGACCTTTGAAACACTTTGCACCGTAAGTCATTCTGCATCTTCTCGGGGTATAGGATATAAGGTTTTCTTGGTTTTCCATCCTCAAAAGTGCAGATACAAACCCAGAAATGAATGAAAATATATGAACAGGCAAAAGACAACTCATTCATGAGCCGTTCATGCAGTTCCAACAAGGCAGTATGTTGTTGCTTTCAGACCGGAATGGGCTTCAGTATTGCCTGCAAAATTAAGATCATGGATTTAACAGGCCTCCGCTAGAAAACAGTCCCCCAAGGGATAACCAGCTAGCCTTTAAAAGCGAGGGAGGAAAACTACCAACCAGAAAAGGATCCACACCTGGGGTCAGGGTCAGGGCCATGTAAGAAGGAATAAATCTGCCCGTGTATCTCAAGAACTATTACAGAATAGGATAAGAGGTGTCTATGCGTGTGATTTTGAGTCATATAGAAAAAACCAGAGCCACTATTCTCTATTTAAGCAGTGTTTCTCAACCCATTTTTTTCCTTATTGCTCCCCTAAGAAGCCTTTTTAGACTTTTTTTTATAATTATCTCATGAAAATTTAATACTGAAGATATACTGTATGTTTATATGTTGTATGTATATCTATAGTTTATACATGAAAGAGTAATATTTTCCCATTTAAAAACCAATGTTTGCCCCCTTGGGAACTATATACCCCCATTGAGAATGCATATACTTAAGGAAGAACAAGACAGTGTAATTTATTAACTATATTTTAGAAATCCTATTTTGAACATTAATTACTGTGTTTTAAACATTCGCTGCCTCCTTGGTGGTGGTGGTTTTTTCAACAAGAGTTTATGCATTAGCAATTAACAGTGGTGTAGAACTCACTCTCAGATGAAACTATCACTGGCTCGCTATTTAAAATGAGAATGAGCAGTTGGGATTTATTTCTGGACTTTGACTACTGTGATCTCTCAAAACTGGGTTAGCCATTTGGGTCTCTGTATTGTCCCAAATGCAATCATTCATCAAATTCCCAGCCTGGAGGACCAGAGCTAGAAGGGATGGCCAGAGGATCCGTGTTGGCCAGATTAGTTGAAAGCGACTCTTTTGTTGTTACTGTTTTCTTGTAAGGCGTTAAGAGCAATGTAGGCCCTTTTTTGCACAGCAGTCTGTTTTGGATTATACTTGCTGATCTCAGGTCTCAGGGTCGCCCACTACTGGACACTTACCCTAGCAGCGAGGGAGAAACAGTGGAGGACCCCTTCCTTCCACGTGCGGCAGGTCAGCATCCACACCTAGGACTGGTGGGGCTGCATCCGGTCCCTGTGCTGAGACAGCATATGGAAAGAAGGGGAGCCCCCTGGATCTTATGCCATACGTGACAATGCCCCCCTGAGTCCTGCAGATGATTAGATCGGACTGACTCTCACATGGCACCAAGAAATTGTTCATGTTACCAGTAACTTCAATGTGAATTGCCTAGCAAGTGAGATGCCCACAGATCTCTTACTCTGTCCGAAAGTTTCCATTTGAGAAGTGTGTGGTGGAGCCCCTGATACCCTAGAGGACAGGGAGCATCCGAAGAAGTACGCTGAGCTGCTCCAAAGTCCCTGTGGGTGTGGTTTAGCGGTGTGTTTCCTCACAAGTGTGACCCTCTGGCACAAGGATGACCGTGGCTTGTGGGGGTCTTGCTCATTTTAGGGATGCCGTGAAGACCCTTAGGTCCCTCGCGTTCAAGTCCCCTGCATTTCTGTTCAGCATGACTTTTGACTTTTGGGCCCTTGCAGTTTCATGGATGCCACGTGTGTCTGAGGTCAGCTTTCCTGTGGGCAGGGGTGAGGCCACAGGAAGGGGTTCCTGAAGCACCCGGAAGAAGCTAAGCGAGGAGAGTGGGGATTTCCTTCTTCCCTCTGCACCTGGGGATACCCCCCAAATTTGAGGAGACCATGATTACACCAGTAATGAAAATGGTATCAGAAGCCAGTGTGGTGAATTGTACTTTCCACAGCTCTGATGACTCCGTGGCACCCCTGAGAGCTGAGGGGCCCCCCTCGGTCTCCCAGCCAAGAATCAGGGAGCAGAGCCCTACCCTGGCCGCTCCTGGGGCCCCTCTCTGTCTGGCTTCGGTCACCTGCAGCCTGCCCCCCTGGGAATGCATCCACTGGCCTGAGTTTCAGTAAGAGAGGGTCTCTTCCTCCCAGGAAGAACCTCCTGACTTCTTACCCTGCTTAGGGGCCAAAGTGCTTTCTCGACTGGGACCTGAATCCTGCAAACACTGGATGATGTAAGCTAGGGAGCAAAAAAAAGGGACATCCCCCACACCTGGGTTTTTTTCTTCTAATGAAGCCTGACATTCTGTTCTGGGAGTCGCGCTCATTTGTGTAAGGGGAAGGTTGTCCTGGGAAGGCTGGCAAGGCAGTATGAATAAATCATAAAGCACTTTACAAATCGGCATTAGCTCCAAACACGAGGGCTTGGAAGATGTTAGGCCCCGGTTCTCACCATCCCTGAGGATTCATTTATTTGCAGTCAGGGCTGTTTCAGAGGCTCTGCAAAGGGGAACCCACATTCATGACTGTGGGGAAGAAGCGTAGATTAACTACTCTGGACTGAATTGGGTCAGCACAAATGTGCACATGGGTTAGGACTGGGGTCATCTAGTTAATAATTCCCCATATCGCTCAGGAAGGAGAACTGAAAGCTCCTGAATTTAGAGCCTAAATACCAGTCCCCAGTGAGTGCAATTTGGGTTGTGCTCCACCTGCTATTCCCGAGGGCTTGGCTTCTTTATTTTACTTGGTGCCTTGGATTCTGTTCTCTCTGGGCTAAATGGGCCCCCCACTGGTAAACACCCACCGGGCTGGGAGAAGGAGGTAGAAGCAGGGCCAGCTAGTTCAGTGAGCACAGATCTTGAACAGCCTGGGTGGGACTCCCACCCCTGCACGTACTGGCCCCTGACTGTGGCCAGTGACTTAGCTTCTCTGAGCCTCAGTTTCACCATCTGTGAAATGAGCATAACAAATCCCCGTGCACGATGGTGGGTCACTGGGATGATTGCAGTCAGGCGCCGAGAGCATGGGAGGCAGCAGGTGGGCGGCTCTCTCCCGGTCACAGTTACAGTCCTGGTGTCCTGCTCTGTGTCCTAGAGGCTATTTTTATAGGATAAAGGACAAGGCAGAATATGAAGCCAGCTTCAGGTGTGGAGCAATAGAAGGCACAGTTCAGTCTGTCCTGCTACTATGCGAATGCCATTCTTTTTTCTTTTCGTTTGCAATGTGGAAACAAAACACAGTGATAAACCATGAACACCACCTCAGGAAGAAACCCGTGACGGTCATGAGATTATGCCTCTCTAGGGGCTGTCCCTCTGCCCAGGAGGGCCATTATAACTTGGACGGGGGGTGGTGGCATGTGTGAGCATGCCCTCGCACGCGTGAGTGCATGCATGTGCACGCACGCACACGCACATACACCTACTGCTAGGGAAGCAGTTACACTTAGTTCCCATTCCCCCTACCCCCCCCGCCATTCCCTCTGACCCTTTCAGGAATCTTCCCAGCCTGGTTTCAGCAAGACTTGGAAACAGCTCCAGCTACACTGTGCTGTCTCCCTGGACACTGTGTGGGTAGTGGGATCACCATAGCAACGTGGCCCCTGTGGGCAGGGAGCTGCCTGTGAGGACAGTGCTGGACGTGGGCCAGAGGCCCCATGCCAGGGGCTGTGGGAATGCCGGCTCAAAACTTACTCGCTGCCCTGGCTCAGGAATCCCTGCCCCTGGCAGCCCAGAGAGGGAGCAAGATGGGTGGGGGAGAGAAAAGGCGCTTGTCTTCCTTGGGGGATCCTAGGCAGAACCCCCAGCATGAGCACGGAAGGGTGAGAAGCAGCACTCTCGACAGCCTCGGGAGCTCTCGGGGCATCGCTGGGGGTGGAGGCAGTCAGCAGCGCCATGTTAACTCCCCAGGCCTGTGCCCTCCTGAAATTCAGTACTCTGCGCTGTGATTCACCAGGCCCAGCCTGCTGCCCCATGGAGACGTCCCTTCTAATCCCCACAACCCCCTGACAAGGCGAAGTTCACTGTTCCTACTTGACAGGAGAGAAAACTGAAACTCTGTCACACATGGCTAGGTGGCAGGACTGAAGTTTGGGACTAGGTCTGCTGGACTACAGAGGTGTCTGAGATACTTCATTCCTTTTTTTTTTTTTTTAAAGAAATATATATATATTTGTTGCTAGCTGGTTCATACCCGAGAAACAGGTCCACCAAATTCTTAGGGATGCAGTCAACATTTATCCCAACCCCAAAATTTGTCCATTCAGATTTTTAAAACTTGAGATATCATTCACATACCATAAAATTCACTCTTTTAAGGTGTATAATTCAGGGGTTTTCATATATTTCTTCATTCATTTTTTATCCATCCCCAAGCATCTCAGAGTACCTAGCATATAAGAGAATTACAGTCAGACTGCTTTGTGTTCAAATCCCAACTACACTATTTCCCAGCTGTGTGACTTAACTTTACTCCTCTGTAAAATGGGCATAATAATAGGCTTGGGAAGATTCAGTAGCACAGTGTACACAAAGCATTTACTGCCTGCCTCCCAATAGGATTCAGTAAATGTTAGCAATTATCATTATGAATGACGGGATTGTATCTGTATACTGGTATTCCCCTATGGACGCTGCTCAGAGAGATGCTGATAAAGCACAGTGAACTTGGGATGAAGAAGAGCCTGGAAAAGTGGTGTTGGTGCTGGTTGATTGGATGGAGGTATATCCGTGGGGACTTCTGGCCTTACATGGCCTTGCTCTGTTAGAACTGGGGCAGGGACAGACTCAGGCCCTAAGTCAAAGCCAAGCTGCTGTATCTCTGTCACCCTCAGTGCTGAAAGGGGCCTCGGGCAGGCAGGCAAGAACGAGGCAGGTGGGACTCGGGGCGCTCCCACACAAGTCCACAGGCATCGGCCGCTCTCCCGGCAGTTCAGAGGAGCGTGGCTTAGCTGTAGAGCTCCCAGCTGCCTCTAATTTCTGACAATCCCAATTCCTTCT